ACCCCCCCCCCCCCCCCCCCCAGCAGCCTAAGGCGGGAAATGTACTGTAGATGATATGGATATGTATGATATTAGGTGCTTTTGCTTTATACAATGCGCACGCCCAGAGTTTCGGCAGATGCTTTCTTCTGGCTCGAAGTGCTTTTGTTTTTTTTGCTTTTTTTCTTATTTATTCATTTTTCTTTTCTTTTCCACTCATGCTCTTGCATCCTCCTTGATGCTAGTTAGCCTTTAGCACATTAGCTGGTGTTCCTCAAAACCCTGGACTGCATAATCATAACCCCACCACACTCACTCAAGCTCGATCACTGTCATTGTTTCTCATCAAACATAGGCAAAGCTCAGCTCTTTTCTTCCTTGGAAATACCACTTTGACCCGTGGAATTCGGTTCCCATTCTTGCTCTAACTGATCCTGAGAGCGGCGCAGGCGTCTCGCAAGTACCTCATTCTTTGACCGCCCCTCCAAAGCAAAGCAAAGCAAAGACAAGCAAAGACAAGCAAGACAAGCGTCTCAGCCAAAACACACCGAGAAATTTCCCCGCCTAGGTCCATCCATCCAGACTCTCTTTTAGCCATGGCCGACGTTCCGCTCGTTGTTATCTCAGAATTCGCGCAGTCAGAGCGCCGCATCACACCGTCATGGTCCATCTCCCAACTCAAGGGCAAGCTTGAGACTGTCACTGGTGTTCCGCCCTCTTGCCAACGGCTCTCCCTCAAGCCCACAGCTGGCGCAGAGGCTATCGCTATTGAGGCGCCTAACGAGGACGACACCCACTTGTCCAACTTTCCCCTGGCCCCGTATGCAGAGCTTCATGTAAGTCAGAGTGCATTATAGCACGGCCTCTCATTTGTCAGCTTCTTTCCCGTACCATGTGCCTTGGCCGAGATATTCTCGCTGTCCTTCGCTCTTCTGTCTTCGGCGTTCCTATCGACAAGTTTTCAAGGTTCCCAGGTCCATGTTATTCACCGGTGCTGAGCTGGCACCTGAGAAGTGTGGCGAGGGGGGGCCGAGCGGGAGAGGCGGTGGGAGTTGAGCGGCTGCGTATGTGCGCGCGTTCTTGTTGAGGGACCAGAGTATCGTCACTGTTTTAGTGGTGCCACCATGGACTTTTTTTACCCTCCAATACTTTGGATAAGGCTGACAGGGATCCAACCTGGCAGGTGATTGACACACGGCCTGCGGCCTCCAGGATCAACTTGAACGACACCGCGGGCGTCGACAAGTATGTCATGCCCGAGCAAGAGTACGAGAAAAAGACGGACTCGGTCCTAGCCTGGAAGAAGGCTCAGAAGTTAGGCCGTTTCGACCCAGATGCCCCCAGCCACGAAGAGGCCAAGCTACAGGCTCTTGACCGCGAGGTTGCCACGCGGGGCATTGCTGTCGGCCGACGGTGTCGCGTTGGCGGTGAGGATACTCGGCGCGGTGTCATCCAGTACGTCGGTGAGGTCAAGGAGATCCCCGGCGGTCTCGGGTCATGGGTAGGAGTCCAGCTCGATGAGCCCGTTGGCAAGAATGACGGTAGCATCGCTGGCACTCGATACTGGGGCGAGCCCTCTGAGCTCAAGCATGGCGTCTTTGTGAGGCCAGAGCGGGTTGAGGTGGGTGATTTTCCTGCTCTCGACGACTTGGAGGATATGGAGGAGATTTAGACGTCTCGAGGGTGAACAGCTCGATGGTCTAGGGTTGGTGGTCCTCTGTTGAGTAAACATTGATAACTACAGCAAACGTTGTACCAGGTGGTTGTAATTAGAGCTAGGCTCCATGACAAGTCTACTCTCCGAAGTATCTTCAGCCAGTAGTAATTTTATCATAGCCGGAGCCTGGCAACTTGGTTGTGCAAGGCCATCAGGTTGATGGCCTTGCCAGCTTTACCAAACACGGATACACAAATCAGCCACCAAACCGAGATCTCACAAGCCAGATCCTTCTGTCCACTTTGTGAAACACATGAGTGAGCATCCCAAGATCTATCATCATAGATTCTCGGCCCCTGCGTAAGATCTCTCCGTCGTACGCGGTGGCCATCTGGTCTCCCCTGCATCTCTTGAGCAACGCGATTCCCGATCCGTGAAATCTTGCAGCAACGGCTCGGCAACTTTATTCCAACATCAACAACCATTTTATAGCTGTTCTTATATACCCAGGGTGAGCTTAACCGTAGTTGAGAATCGTTTGCGGACATTTAAGGTGATGTAGTTGTCGAGTTATCCTGGATCAAAGACCACAATTGTCTTATATGGTGCAGGGTTGGGTATGTGGGTATCAAACTCTGAGATGCTAACAGGTATATATTGACTTCCTCTATAGCATGTAAACAGCCCTTTTGTGAGTAAATGAATTGTGTCAATCTGAACTCTTAAGGCTGGTCTTCACGGTAATGGTTGCATCTCTCCTGTGCCTCGCTATTTCAGGAGGTTACCATGGCTACATGGCAAAGCTAGGCGTCCTTTTCACCTTTTGGCTGATACTATGCTTCTATTACAAAAGCACAAGATTTCACCTATAAAATTTATTTCTACTTGGACCCGAGCATCGATCGGAACTAGTATATAACCCTAGCGGTGCTACAGGCCCTACGCTATATCGGACACCTTTGAAGAGTGTAGTATAGGGCCATGTACATCACGACTATTGGTCTTGCAATATATATTTGGAATTCACAAGTGCTACACTGTGTCGTATATATACTCCTATATAGTCTCTCAGGAAGAGTAGGTGTTCCATGCCACTTACAGCTCATGTAGATACGGGACGTGATGATTATAACGGGATATCTAACTACTTACTATGTCTTCGGAGCATCTCTAACCTCTAGGTTACCAGCCATTGTTAGATACAAAATGCATATAGCACTAGGGTCCTTAGAGATGGATTGCCACTAGATACCAGCGTCTTTAGTACCGGTGAATCATGTCGCCATCTGTAAACGGCTTACATAGGGCGAAGCATTTCCCCGGAATATTCACTCGGAATGCATCCGAACAAACCATCTTTCCAATCAAGTCTTGTGCTTTCTGAGCTTGAGAGTTGCTTCCATCCTAGCACAATAGCAAAATAGTACATCGAGAGAGTCTAACGGTAAAGTCTAAATGACCTTATATATGATAACATCGTTCAGTCACAATGTTGTTTATAATTCAAATACCCTCTACTCTAGGGTATCATGCCCTCTCTCGTCGTATGAGAATGTTTCTGGGGTAGGTTTTCGCCTTGAATGTATTCCAAATTGTGCGTCCTGGACAACAACCAAGTTCATGGAACTGAGTCTGATTCCCTGGGCTATCACCTATTGTCTCAACCATGAGGGCCATGGACATCAAATATTCATTGCTTGTCTCTCAATTTATCTTCAAGTGCCCCAGAATTGAAGCTCGACGATTCTTCTAACCTTAGTGATGAGTGGCAAATTACTCTTCCTTTCAGCTTCAAAAACAACGTTCGAGACGATCAAAAGCCTGTATCTCAAGGCTTAATATTAATTTTGAATTCTCAACGGTTAGCTCGGACTACATTCAAGCACTGAAAAGTAATAAAGTACTCAGTTTAAGTATAATTGCGGATAATCCAATATCAGCCCAGCCATGAATACTGACGAGCAATGAAACAGTCAGGGAAATACATCTAATGACGCGGCTAAAGCTTCCGTATGATATCATTCTATTTTCGAGTTACTTTGAGATTCTCGATCGTTCAATCCGTCAACGTGTAATAACAGGAGGTTGAGTAATTTGCCATGCCGTTTTATCTTTCTCTGGTCACTTTCTGGCTCCTAGTATTACTTGAGATGAGTCGATCTAACAATCTAACGACTCATGAAAGTTTTTCAGTACATAAACGGGACCCTAGTTGCCCATAACAGGTCAAGATTGAAAGGAAGGATTCAATGGCTTGCGTCAATCTCGCCTTGATATCTTAACTTTTACAACAGTAACCACGATAAAGTTTATTTAATTAAAATATTGATATGGTTAACAATAATTTTTATTGTACTCTAAAAAGAAACCAAGATATATCTTCATTTGGCATGTGTGGATTGTCTCATGAGATATTACAGGCATCAACTACGTTCTGCAGATTAGGAAATTGTAGAGGTATCACCATATAACCTGACTAACAAGACCAATATATCATCCATGCCGTTTCCCCTCACGCGATCATGCTGGCCGAGAGCTTGGCTAACACAGACATCTTCACATTTTCGGAAGAGATGGATATATCTTACCGCAATCACAGTGATTCAACGAATTGATCGTCTGTTTGGGTATTCATCTTGTCGATAGCTCAAGCGATCAGCAACTGAAACAAGCAAGTTATCGTCATTCATTAACGTCTTCAAACCCACAGATGGCACTGATTCAAGCAGAATTGGCTTCCATTGAATAATTGCCAAGGTTGTAGTGACAGTAGTGAGCTCTTAGTGCCTTGGTTAGGCCAAAACGCTGTGTTTCCAGTGGTTGGAAGTTGCCGTCCCCCTCTGCTGTCGCTTGTCAGCGGGCGCGCGGGAACTTTTTCGGGTGGGTTCCACCCCGATACGGGACCCGACGGGGCCTATCATGGCTAGGATCTGATGGATTTGAAGACCACTCCTGTTTCTCCCTCCATCATCAATTTGCCTTGAACTTGGATTTAACTCTTTTCAACTCAGCCCGCGGAACCCCTACCGGAAACGAACCGCAATACACATACGAGACGAGTGCAGCGCAGGAGAATTGCGACCGGTCCATGCGATTCAGAACCGACATGTCGGCTTCCACCTAAAACTCAACTGGCGATGACTTCAGTTGTATCAGCCTTGCCCCTACGTACGCGAAATCGACGACTACACTCGATACTTTACGCATAAAGCATACCTGCAGTTTCGCCGTCACCCACAACCGGCGTTATTCAACACCTCTCCTACCCTCAATACCACCGCTATACAACCGCAATCATGAGATTCTCAACGATAATTAGCACAGGCAGGATGGCACTCTTCATCTCCATCCTAGCCTGCACTCTCTCAGGTGTCCTTGCAGATGACACTGAAGTCTCTACATGGGCCGAAAGCGAAATCCCCGAATGGGCCACAGTCAACGGCATGCAACTCTCGTTGTCAGCGAACCCCGGGCTGCAATTTGCTGTGATCCCTCTTACGTCGAATCTGGGACTTAACGATTCCACAGGTCGAGTAATAGATGTATGTCTTGGCTCTGCGCTGTTGCCTTGTTAATGCTAATAACTACTCGAAAGATTATTCATATCAATGGTAATATGATCGCGACAGACTCTTCAAATTACAACAAAGTGACTGACAAAGACGATATCGCCTATCTGTCATGCGACGAACCCAAAGGCGACTCTTTTCTCAGTCCCAACAAGATGCTCAACACATTGATGCAGCTTGAACCACATATCAAAGCGATAGTCCTGTATTCTACGTCCAACACATGGTGTGCCATCGACCCAGTCGACAACCTTCCATTTACGAGTATCTTGTCCATGGCCGACGGAGGCGAGGCCACACAAGCCCTCAACCTTTTGAATGGTACCAGCCGTGGTGAAGTTGTCAAAGCGAGCATCTTCGGTAACAACACGGATAACACGTTGCCGAAGGATGAGAGCAAAGGGGGTAGCAACACGGCTGCCATGAGTGTTTTGTACGCCATCACTGGCCTGATTACTCTGCTATTCTTGGTCATCATCACGACAGGCGCTGTGAGAGCCCATAGATATCCTGAAAGATACGGGCCACGAAGTGCACTTGGCGGGCGGCCACGGCAGAGCCGCGCCAAGGGACTCGCTCGGGCTGTACTGGACACGATCCCAATTGTCAAGTTTGGAAACCAGACACCCACAAAGCCAGACCCCGAATTGGAATTGGAAAATACGGACGGCAACGATGCTGTCACGCAACGAACTGCGTCACGCCTCAGTGAGGCCAGACAGGCTGACGGGGCTCCGGCACCAGGTGGGGTGACCAATGCCGTACCAGCCGCGACTAGGGCATCGTCTTCTCCCGAGGGTGCCGAAGACGAGACGAGCGACCACTTAGGATGCTCTATCTGCACCGAAGACTTTACGGTTGGTGAAGATGTTAGAGTATTGCCCTGCAAGCATCAGTATCATCCGGCATGTGTTGACCCATGGCTGATTAACGTATCGGGCACGTGTCCATTGTGGTGAGTTACTACCTAGTCAAAGATCCGATTCTTATGCATACTAACACGTTATCAGCCGCTATGATTTACGACCAGGCAAGGGTCATGCATCTGCGGAGGCGGACGTTGGCGACTCTAGCACGCTGCCGCCACCTTTGGCAATGGAGGGTGCTGAGAACGACGCGCCTCAATCATCTCACCGTAACCGAATCTCGAGACTTTTTGATATTAACCGCCTTCGAGAAGGGACCGTGGAAGAACAAATGGAAGCATTACGCCAGATGCGGGCGGAAACTAATGAAAATAACAATCAAGAGACGACAGAGGTTACTGAAGCTGCCGAAGGCGAGTCGCAAGGCCAAAGTGCACGATTTGCGGCGAGGCTTCGGGAGAGATTTAGAATCCGCACACGCGCTCAAGCCGTCGAAGATCATGAAAGCCAACGGGGGAGCTAGTGAGTAGCACGGAGGTACCGGGGTATTTATGTTACGGGCGATATGAATTTTAGGGCCGGGAACTGGGGATCGAAAGGCTTCAACTTGGGTTTAACCAGGGGCAGAAGGGGCCCCTTGCATGCATTTGTGAGCCGTTATGATGGAGAAGATTGTTCGGGGTCGGCGTTGAGGCTGAGGAATGATAACTTGGGGTTTGAATATGGGCACATTTGGGAAGCATGGGAAGGCGTTTCTTTGGACGATCGCACATAAGGGCGTGCTCACGACGATCGTGGCTGATGATCATTTTCGGCTTATCCGAGAGTGCAGATATTTACTTACCTTACATATGATACCTTCGATGATTTATGCACGCTTATACGAGATCAAGACCTTGTGCAGCGAGTGTCATTTCAACAAGATTTGATTAGGATGACAGCATATGGCTGGTAGTGAGCTTTTCATTATCCAGCAGCGAATCAACAGCCCGTCCATGTTCACTCAAGCCTATATGCAACACTGTTTGTTGAAGATATTTACAGCCAAGCGCCCATTGTCGGTATCGTGCACCATAACAGGATCTGATTCAGTCACTTTAGAATCCAAAACGAGGGCATGGCTTCAGTGACCTGTAAAAGTCGTAGAGTAAGCTGGAGAATGAAACTCGAGAGCCTCATCAGTTATAACCTCGGCAGATCATCAGGACTGCACGAACGAGTTTTATTGGTTAGAGTTCGGCACATCGCAACGGGGCTTTGTGGTAAAACGTGATATCCTTATAAGGATAACAGGGACTGTTGGAACCCAAATATGCTAAGTTCAGCCAAACCAGGCTGTGGCTTTTCGGAGGCACAATTGCCGCCGTAGCTTGAGGTCTGCCAAATTACAAAGAACTTAGTAGCTTATATATTGTCACTGTGGTGTAAATGGATATCGGGCAATGAATCGAGTTCCTGATCCTCATTGTGGAAACTTTCAAATGGAAATTAGATAATGACGATGGCGTGGAAAGTGTTCGTTAAGCATGGATCCTTGATTTCCCTGTTTCAGATAGAACTTGAAAAGGTCATTCGCTCCCACCATAAGCACCACGCTGGAGTCGTTGTTTTGCATAGATGCAAATTTCCTGGGTTTCATCTGTAGCTTACAGCCAGCACGTTGGTAGTGGTTGGCACAGCAGGCCTGTGCAACGTATGTGATCTCAACGCCGATATCATGAATATGTTGATGCGATGTGAGCTTATTTATTATAATCCCGGGCCATAGGTCTGTAGACTAACGGTGATGCAGCAGTCGCAGATGAACAGGATAATCTTGAGCACAAATCGTTGTCTTGGATTTCTGGCAGCCTATTCTAAATAAGCTTTGAGCTATCGACACTAAAGATCGACCAATACTGACAATGCTATGTACTCAGCCCAGGTCTCCTTCGTTGGACACCCAACCATGACTGATCATCGAGGGCTGAAGAACATTTGAGGCGCAAGATCGAGGATGCTATTCTGTGAGCTGTGCTCAAGCTACAAACCGCAGTCTGAAATGTTCACTCTGGGAAGATATCTGGAGCTACATGGCACCAGGATGCCGGAATGTTGTTTTGCCAAGCGGCATGGCACTTCTGAACCTGACCTTGTGAGAACCTACCCGCCACAATGCCGCCTTTGGATCTCCAATTCCTGCCGAGTCAGGTGAGCCACATACGCATGGAATTTCCCGAATTACTGTCCGTCGGCCAATCTCGAGTCGAGGCACAGTCCGGATTGTGTTTAGAGCGTTTCGTAACGGGACCTCGTCAGGGGGATTAGCGCCTAGGATCTTGATTGATCCCGGGGGTGGACAGATCGGATCTAGCCGGGTCCAAGTACTAACAATAGACCAGAAGATGGCAGGATTTGAATAAGGAGAAGGGATTTTCTTTCCTCATTTATAGGGAAGAATATGATGCTTCGGCAAGATGAAGGATTTACCTTCAGTTAAACAGGTTTGGGAGATTCCTCTTGCCCAATCTCTACCTACCTCCTACCCTTTAAGCATGAGGTAGTGACAGGATTCAAAAGAACTCTATACATTCGAGATGGGAAACAGCTTCCCAACTTACCTACCATAAAATACCTAGTTACCTAAGGTAATTAAGAATTGGATAGCAACTCCCCTTTCGTCTAGTTTGTTCAGGGAGAGACATTATCTGAGCACCTCGCAGCTTCAAATTTCCTCAAGCCTCGAAAGAAACACCATCACAGCCAAAACAAGCCACGATCTATTGACAACACTGCACGGGTGCACTCTTCCGTTGCTCCGGTATCGATGCCACTGTCAGTGCGCACTCGATAGTGCACAACGTCCAGCCATACCACGGGTTTGGGCACATCCATGTAGAAGATGGCTTACACCATCCGACGAACGATCGAAGTTAGGGTGTGGTCGATCTGTTTATTCCTATCTGTCGCCTCCTATCGAACTCCCGACCGAAATGGGTCGGCTTCATCTCCAGTCCCTTTTCTTTTTTACCATAGCCACAGCCGTATCGATCAAACGCCACGCCGCAAGAGACGGGTTAGAGTAATCATTATTAGCTCTCCGTGGCATTGTTATAATGGCAAAGCAACAATATCGGCCAACACAGTTTGCCCCGAGACCGGACATTCCTAAGTCTTGATATGATCACCAATCATCAAGAATTGGGATGACTTCTGGAAAATCGATCGAACAAATGCTTTACGAGTCACCCTTTTGTGACTCGAAATGAATGACATTCTACCAAATAGCTTTCGCCAACACTGTACCATCACGATACAATGATTTTCTCCTACCTGCATCCAGAACCAAGTCTAACAATGGGTGACACGCCGCACTCGTGAACCACATCAAATAGTCAAACAGGGGCCGAGACATCGCCAAGGAATCAGCTAGATATTCGGATCCTCCGCGGTTATCCCAGACTAATTTACGGTACCCCCAAAGAGCATCACCCATCGTACTCTCATCCACCACCGTCAGTGGCCCATCGAGTAACGACCATTCCGCTCTAGCCTTATTTCGATATCATCTCAAATCGTTAGTCGCTTTACACTGAATTTGATGGTGAAAAAAACTACCGATAACTTTGTTGGTCCCAGTTTCATCGTGCCTGGCTCAACTGCTATGCCTCTTAGTATCCCGGTATCACTCATACCTGCGGCCAACCAAAGCGGTTCTGCATGGTGCCTGAACTTCTTCCGCTTCTGGCTCGTCTCGGGGCTTATTTCATTTTACGAGTCCATAAGCAGCTTCCAGGACATTAGTTGGGTTGAGCTAAAGATACCTAGGTTCCAGACTACTGGATAGGTTGTCGGCAGAAGAACTAGAGATCTGAGGCTTCGGCCCAGTCAGTAAAGCGTCTTGGCTTGATCTCCTACTTTATAGCCACAAATTATGCTTTGGCTTTACGCCTGTCTGGGCAATTGCTCTTTTCCCGTCCTCCTCCTTAACTATCACCCACCGTACGCAACCTTCTGATCAAGGCTTAACTTTTGTTTTCCTCTTTCTATCGAAGATCTGCCTGTTCATTGGGGACAGCAATAGAACTCTGCTGCATGCTTGGCTGTTCTTTCGATTCCCATTCTGAAACGAGCGTCCTCAAATACGGTATGGTTCCTAAGCCTTCTCTCGAGCCTCGCGAGGCATATCTACCGAAACCCGTTCCTATAGGAGGAGATATTATGTCGGTTATGGTCTCCCTCGCTGCTTGTTCAATATTGGCTGTCTTTCTTTGTAAGTCTTAGCAAAGGCTTATGATATTAACACTAAAAACTAACACGCATAATGGAATAGTCCAGAGAATTACTGCCGTTATATCCTGGTCCAGGTTACCATTTGTTGCTTGGCGTAAGTCTCTTGAGCTGATGCGAGTATTTGGTTCGATTTGTTGGCTAAACATATGATATAGTCGTCCTGATCATCTACGTCGACTCTTATGGTTTTATTTTCACCTCTGCAATGCTCCAACAGGTCTTTGGTGTCAACAGCAGCTTTAACATTTGCCATGGCGCCATTTTGCTTTGCCTGATATGCTATGTCACAACCAAGATTGTGGGCTCTCCTGTCGACTATGCCGTAGAAGGGTTTGGCTAATGCGAGAATAGCTTATATACGTCTTTCTTGTCGAGAAAGCTGTAAGTTTCATGTGTTGTTTGAGCATTGAAGTCAAATTTCTAACAACATACAGCATGTTATTCGAAGCTCTACTACACGAAGAAGAAACTCGAAACTTTACTTGTTCAATATGATCACACTTCTTGGTGGTTATGGAGTGGTTGTCGTCCTCAACTTTATCTAGTAGGTCCTTCTAGCATTGACTTTCGTTTTCCAACGGCTTGTTAACGGTACTAGTCGCATTGCCAGAATTGTAAATGGAGAGTGCTTCATCGGCATGAAGAGCATCTCTATGATTCCTCTTATCGCTTTCGATGCCGTCGTCAATATCTACCTGACCATTCTTTTTCTTATCCCTCTTAAAAGTCAGTCAACATTCGTTGGTCTCACGTACATATACTAATGAATGGTCAGATCTCTATTCATTCAAGAATCTTCCAAAGACCCATGCGAACTCCCGTCTCCGCAGTGTGGCCTTCCGTACTTTCGTCGGCGCTTGCTGTACTTTGACAAGCAGCATAGTGTAAGCCTGTGGATGTCTAGCATTCGAAATACCCCTAACATGGACTAGAAACTTAACTGTATTGATGGTTCTTGATGGCGAGCCGGGTTGGGTGTGTCTAATGTGTTGCAACAGTGACGGTATGTACCTTAAACAAGGCGTCTGGAATACAACTGACCATATGGAGTTCTCTTTTCGGCCATTGTCGTTCAATGGGTCACTTCTCGCGATAGTGCTGGTTCTTCCAGTCAACCAGCTTCAGCTGCTGTTACGGATGGCAGCTACATTGGTAGACGTGCCTCGTCGGCTCATCCAAGAAGTCTGCATGCTTCCAACATTCCCAACGTTCCTCGCGACGTAGACGACGAGACTTCTCTTGTCGGACATGCTACCGTCACCTCTTTGACAGATGACTCTGGTTTCGAAATGACCAAAGTTCATTCAGGGGCTACAAGTGGTGTTATCGTTACGACGACAATTCACCGTCAGAGCAGGCCTACGACCGAACGAAAGGAGAGCAGCGATGATGACGACAATATTGGGATTGAATCGGGCCGAGACTTTCCGGTGCGTTCAGTTGCTTTTGCTCCGGGTCACACAGAAGCCGCAGAGCCACCTCGAACACGAATCCAAGGTGGCTCCAGGCCGCATCATCACTCCAAGACACCTTCGTTCTCACGTCCATTGAATAAGTAAAATTCACAGTACAAGGGCTGTTTAGAAGGGAATTGCTTAGAACATTAGGTCAGGAAAATCGGCGTTTTCAGGTTAAGGGCTCTTTAGATAAAGACAAGAGGGTTATAGGCATATTTGATTAGAGATCGGAGTTGATATAGAAGGGGCGGCGGCAATACCCAATATCTTAGTAGTTTTAATCATCACCAGGATTTGCAGGTTTCCATGCATCCAATGATATTCTTAAAACCTCACGACTTGGAAGAGCATCTATTCGCCGAGATAAGGTGATATGACGCCTAAACTTGACAAAGACGTTCCCCACTCATCGATGAAATGGATGGATGACACAATGGTGTCAGGTGTTGATCTCCCGCATTCATCCACATGGCGCAACATTCCTTGACCTACAGCACAATTCAATCAAGACATTGGCATAGCCACGATCTAAGATGTAGGCCAGGGCTCAAAGTCTGGAATCCGAGGGTCATGAGAGAGTTTGACGTAGTCCTGTAAGTCTTCATCCATCGAAGCAGTAGAGATGTTCTGTCACAAAAGGGCACAGTAGTTGGAGCAGTGAAATCGCTGTTCATTGTCATCGTAGCTCGTAGATGTATCTACACGCTGAAAGAAGTCTATCAAACTGCTAAGATCAGAAATTGTTCTATTTGCAAAGTCCTCCCTTTTTGTAATATCCCGGAATTGGTGATAAGAAAAAAAGGTAAGGAGGTGGACCGCACGATATAAACTTGGATTCTGTAAGCCAGATCCTGGTCACCTAAATGCAGAATATGTACATAAGTCAGCAGGCGCCATCCTTGAACCGAAAATGTTTATCCCCCCTCCCGAAAGCCAATTTTGAATGGTTGGGTATTTCCCTAGCGATGGTACAAGAAGTTATAAAACGAACTGAGTGGCCATCTGCCACGAGCCTTGGCGAGTTTAAGCGGAGGCATAAACGCTGCCGTAGGAGCTGAGCTCAGTCTCGCTCGTCATAAGCATGCCAGTCTCGACCTTGAAGTAGGAGTAAGCGTCAAGGTAAGAAAGGTCCTCAAGCTGGGGGATGGCATCCTTGAGCCAGGAGGCAATGGCCTCATCGGAACCAGTGGGAGCGAACTCAGTAAGCCAGATGGGCTTTCCGCCGCAAGCCTCGTGGGAAGCCTTGAGGTGGTCGAAGAGAGTGCTACCGTACTCAACCTCGGAGTACCAGTGGACGTTGCAGAAGTCATAGTGGCACTGCTCGTCGAGCTTCTCGCACTCGGAGACCCAGCTCTTGAGCCACTCGACACCCTCGCCAGCAAGACCACTGTTGCTGATGGAAGGGGCACCGATGAGGGCCTTTCCAGCATATGGGTTGAGCCACTTGACATGGGCCGTGGCAGCGTAGGCAGGAGTCATGTCAGCCTGGCCAGCGTTGTCGGGCTCGTTGAAGCTGAAGATAGCCTTGGCGCCATCACTCAGGGCCTGGGCACAGTTGTCGGCAAAGCGGTCGGTGTGCAGAGGCTGGTCGTTCCAGAGGGTAGGGATGAAGTTGAGACCCTTGGTAAGACCACCGGAAGAGGAGTCCCAGTTGTAACCCCAGCCGCAGTTCTCGCAGTCGCCGGCGAAAGTGTTGGCAAGATCAACGTTGTTGTAGCAGACACCACGCTTGTGGGAGAAACCAGCGGAGCCACCAGAAGAGGAGCCGCTAGACTTGGCCTTGGACTGAGTCTTCTCCTTGATGGCAGCCTTCTGGGGAGCCTTGGTGGCGGTCTCCTGCTTCTTGGGCTGGGAAGCGGGCTCATAGGCAGACTTGGCAGCTTGAGAGGGCTTGGCAACCTTGATAATGGTGGTAGGCTGAGCGGCAGCGGGAGCAGGAGCGGGAGCAGAAGATGCCTCGGGTTGAGAAGCGGCAGCGGGCTGGGTGGCAGCGGGGGCAGAACCGCCGGGGCCGAAGTAGTTGTTCTCCCAAGAGACGACCTGTCCGTCAATGGTAGCAACGACCCAGTCACCACGCTTCTGGGCGTGCTGGTGGTGAGCGTGGCGGTGGCCGAGAGCGAGAGCCGGCTCAAGAAGAGCGGCGGTAGCGGTAAGGATGGTGAGCTTGTTGGCGATCATCTTGACTGATGTGACTGGTATTCCGAATCAAGGCGATTTGGGTAAAGACCGATGGAACTGTGTTTTCGGAGACGGCAGTCGACTTATGTAATGAATGTGAAGTTATACTTGATATTCGGGCTGATCACAGTCGGACGACAAGGTGAAAGCAACAACGAAAGATCGGGGCTGAGACGATAGTTGTAGTTATGTGATCGGCACGGCCGAGTAGGGAGTGTGTATGCGATCTATCAAAGACGCAGATAAAGAAGGGCGACGACTAGTCGAGACGAGGGTTGAAAACACGGGCTGATATTGACGAGATGAAGGAGAGAAGGGGAAAGGAAGTTCGAAACCATGGGGGGATATAGAGGGTTTAAGTGCAAGGAGGTCCCTCGCAATAGGGCAGGCAATGGCAATGGAAGTGGTGTGGTTTGGACATGATCCAGAAGCACAGTACAAGTGGTGAGGTGGACTGGAATGTATCTTTTACCTGCTGATGATTGTTGGAGATACCCGTGTCTTCACCTGACACCTGGTATCTTTGTTTCCAAGACTGGAAAGACTGGGAAGAAAGGACCCCCGCCTGGACCATCGAGAGCCTCCACTTGCAGGGGCAGTTCTGGGGCGCTTTCGGTGGACTCAGGTGAATTGCTTGGAGGCGTTGTGCAATTCCATTGGCCGACGCTCTTGTTCCTGGCGCCGTGCTAGAGTGGATCCATGGCCGGGTACGCCATCCCTGGCAAAAAGCGGGTAGCATGTCAGGGGCAGCCGCTTCAGGTAGCATCAAAGCAGTTTCCGATTGGGCGAGCTGACCTCCCTCTCAGAATCTAAACGACAGGTCAGCGCAAAGATGGAAAACATGGGTTAACGTGGCAGTGGATGCGCGACCACTCACACAGAGGCAAACACACGCTGTGCCTAAACTGAAACAACTATACGTGCGCTATTTCATCCGGCTTTGGTCTACTGCAGGTCCCTTCTGCAGGAACACACACAAAAAAGAGGAAACAACCTAACAGAACAAAAAACCGCAAACGGCCCAATTGTGTTAGTGGCCCTCAAAGGAATGATTCACGCACTGGGCCTTTGACACCTCTGCTGCATGGGTGCCAGCACTCTTTCGCCCCAATTCCTGACTCGACGATCCCACAACCAAGCTTCTGATATCCACCATGGTATAAAAAACTAAACGGTCCCGAGAGATTAAGCCAAGCCAAGACAGCAGAGAACAGTGAACACGACCGAGTTTGCTGCCGGCACTTGGCCTTCGAGAACCCTCAACGCCCACTTCCCAGCTACTAACGTAATCACACAAGGCCGTGGTAGACGTTGGCCCTAACTCTGTTGAGCTGATCCTACCCAGGATGCCCTGTAGCCTGTACGTAAGGTGGTAGCTGATGCGATGCTTATCCTGGTGCCAAGCCCAGCCAACTTGATGAATGCAAGGCCAGAGGTCAACGACCACCAAGTTCTGCATCACCGTCATCATCTGGCCTCTCGTCATTCCAATGCCCTCACACCAGAGGCGCATGATACGCATCATATGACGCTCATCACGACAACTAGCAACGACAACGCACACACACATACACACAATTAACGCACTCAAGAACAAAGCGCACAAAGGCTGCCACCGACGAAAATTCTAAATGTCTTGGCTTTTTGGTGCATCCCAGCCTCTTGGGACAAACCTGAACCCATTGCTAAAGGGCCACGTCGGCTGCTAAACCCAATTGTCACTTAGCATCCGCCGTGTGAAACACCGTCCGAAATTACATCCGCAGCCACGGTAGGGGGGCTCCACGCGTACAACCATGATATCCCTTGTCAATATCTGAGCAACCTGTTAGCCGGGATTCCGGATCGGATCCTCATCGTAGCCCACAACGAATGGACGCTGAAAACGGATGGGGGAGAGACATTATTGAGCCATTTTTGGCATGAAAAAAGCTTGGTTCTCAATTATCATCGTTTGGCAGGGTTGTCACTCATCCCCGCCAGAGACATTCACAACTTTGGAACAAGAACGAGAGGAAGGAAAAAACTCAATGCCGCATTTTGATGCTCTGACTCAGATCTTCACAATTTGTTCTGTTTTCGTGGAAGTCTTGGCCATCACTTTGCATGACGAGGGTTACATTTTCTGCACCTCGCCATGACCGAGCACCAAGAACCACACTCAACACTCTTTGCTTTGTACAAGCTAAATGTCACGGACTCTATTTCCTCGGCTTGGCACCTAAACTATTGACATGTGGCGGTCAAGCTGACGTGTTACACTCAATGCCCTCTGAGGCTGTTTTTCCGTGCAACTATCTTTATCTAATCTCTCCAACAAGTAGTGCTTGGGAATCTGGTTGATGGGCTCCTCTGATCAGTGTCGTTTTACTCATACCACAGCGTCAAGTAAACAAAACAAGCAGTCTCTCAAGCGACGAGCTGCTGCCTGTATAGAAAATCCTGATTCAGCCCATAACTTATGGGCCTATGGGGCGCTCATCTTATCTCACGAGATCGCTTCGGGGGTCCCTGGAGTCTGCTGAGCTTTTAATAGTATTTTGAGCATGGCTCTTTCTCTCCACTGCCCGTGAAGTGTTGACACTGGGTTGATGATTCGATGCCGTATCACGGTTTGATTTATCCAAATTCAGAGTACGATGCGTTGAGCGGGACGGTAATGTATAATGTCGTTGTGGTATACGAACACTTGGGGGACATGACCCACCTTTGACGGGATGTGGATGTTGTTGATCAAGGCGTACCGTTGATCAACATGGCAATGGTGAGAGCAGCAGGCTATTCAGGACTTGAGGCCTCCCTAGAAGGGAGCGTGAGCGATATGTCAGGTGAGACGGCTAGGATACGGCAGCGGCAGTGGTTCATTTGAAAGATGATGATGAACTTCATATCCCAATATGGGGTACAGGGTAAGCAAGCTTATTTTGCTTACATGAGTAAGCCCCTGGCTTCATCATCACACGCAGGCCTCAGCAAACTGGAAGCCCTTTATTGATGAATGTATTACACTTTACCAATGCGAGATGCACTATGTGTTAACTCCTTCCTATCAGATTACAACATGTTTTGATATACCTACCAGTGCGCATATCGTTTGAGGTGCCTATGTTGTCCGTCTCGTAACAGGTTGTGAGCAACCAAAATCCGAGACCTACACAGGTGAACGAGAGACACCGTAACAAAGGAAACAAGCCATCGTTTTTAAAATAGATACTGTAACATGGCTCCAGAGTTCAGGTGAGCTAATAACCTGATCGGCGCTAGGATACTTGCGAATCGCGATATTTGCAGAAGCGCCCGACGATGGGAAATGAGGTCAAGGACTAGAGGACGATCGCAGGCGCGCGCTTGTTATTCCCGGTATTTGCCTAGTGATTTCACTCTGACGGAGCTGAATGAAACACCATAAGTGCCATCTCCAACGAGACGTTTCCCTGAGCTCGCTATTGAAAAATATGGTCCGTTGTCATTCTTAAGATTCTGGGGTAAAGTTAAACGCCAACAATGGCCATTGTAACGGATATCAAACTGGGGCCCCGCTATAAGGCAACCTATAAGGCAACGGAGAATCTGCAGCCCGTTGAGAGCTTATCGAGTAAGGCTGCGTCTGTGGCTGTGGCGAAAGGTCACCGTCGCCTTGTTGGTCAGTGAATGAGTGGAGGTCAACACAGCCTCTTCTTCCATGAAGCCAATATCCAAAAAGCATATAAAGTCACGACATAGGCGCAACTGATACCTAGCGACACCGAAACCCAAATTGGGATGATAGTGCGAGAAGCGGCGGAATGATGACCCGTCATCCCGCCCTGTTAGTTAGGGATAAGCTGCCACTACAGCGAATGGTAGAACAACATGTTCAGCTAGTTGTGGCAGGACTCAAGCCACTTGATGGGATCGTCCATTACCAGCTTCAACACGTGATACTATAAGACGCTGATTCGCTCGTGTTGGTTTGAGGAAGCTATCCAACTCTTGAAACCTCGTGAGTTCTTTGGCGTGCTTATAAAACTTCGACCTCTTAAACTCGAAACATATATTCTATACGATGATTTAGACGCATGAGGACAAAAGGCTGCCACCCAGTATTATTGCCCCTGCTCTGATCGCTTCTGCCACGGGCAATCTATAGGAGCTGCAAGAAGCTAGCTGAATTACAACCAGTCTACACAAGAGAGCATCCCACCATGGACCTAAATCAACAATTCACGACAGGAATGCTGTCATTCACTGATCAGCCCGACTTTGATTACGCCGCCTTCCTCCAAGCTGACGATATCACTTTTGGCGAGGGTGCCCAGACCCAACAGCAAGTACCATCAGATTCCTCAGACAAAGCTACCCCCCCAAGCACAACATCAGGGTCCAGTAGTGAACTTATTGCTCGACCTTCTGCTCAGAAACAAAGACTTGAGCGAAGAGGCCATACTAAGAGTCGAAGAGGTTGTTACAACTGCAAGAGAAGGCGTATCAAGGTGCGAGACCTGAAGATCTAAATTCGATAAATCGACTAACACCAGCAAGTGCCAGGAGACTCGGCCTGCGTGTGGCCACTGCACCAAGACGGGCCTGAAGTGCGAGTATCCATCTATGCCTCAGATCACACATCAGGTGCGTAAGGGACAAGGCTGAACAACTGTACCAACTGACAATCGTGTATCTAGCCGCATCACCAGATTCCTCTGTTCAGTCTCCAGGATATGCGCTTCTTCCAGCACTTTCTGACGCAATGCTACCCTCATCATCCCTTGAAGCAAGAGGACATCTGGACCCATGAGATCCCATGCATTGCCCACAACGTACGGCTTCCCATCAAGTAAAAGAAACAAGGCAATTACTGATCGGCCTAGCATGAATATCTTATGCACGCAATCCTCGGTTTCTCGGCATCTGAACTTATGAGGAATGACGCCAGTATTGTTTCGTCAGCCATGAATCACCGAATCAAGGCAATAAGAGCAATCAAGAAACGCCTGGCCGAGACTGCCAGAAGCTCAATGGACTATGAGGAGGCGAACGCCATGGTAGCTACGTGTTACGCTCTTACATTCCAGTCCGTGAGTTTGGATGACGGACTAGCGGAGTATCTGACATTCATCCGTGGAATTATGATTGTGGGAATGCAAATGTTGTTCCGAGGTATAAAACCGATATTCGAAAATATGCTGGAACCGGATCAGGACGCCTTACTCGAACCACTGATGCAGGGCCTCCCACTAATTCCAAGGGGCTATACGGACTCTGCAATGGCGGCTCTTACAAACCTCAGGCCACTTTGTGAGCGGCCAGTCGAAGTTGAGTACCATCAGCATCTCGTCAAAATGGCCGAAAAGCTCTACGTCAACTCGTGGGATGGTAAGTCATGCAAAGCTGGACTGGCACCCGGCTAATTAGGTCTAGCATATAAAGCATACACGGCACAATACGGCTGGTGGATGTTACTTCCACACGACACCTTTCAAGCTCTCATTGACCCCGATAACCAGGTCATGATGCTGCTTCACTCACACTGGGTTGCCATCAACGAGATCATGTCTCCTATTAGTGGCCAAGAACGAAACGTATCCGAAAATTACCCTCCGCAGAGAGATGACCAACCACAACTTGATCCTGGCTTTGCTCGATGGCTTAAACATATTAATGCTAATATCGATCTTGAGCACCAAATTTATAACCAGTGGCCGATGTGGGTGGAGGAACAGTTGGATAATGATATTACTTTCTTTGGAAGGATTTAATTAACAGATTTTACTCAGTTATTTGGTATATTCATGTAGGTTGTTGCAAGATTTCGAAGTGGAAATCTTCTAGTAGATAAAATAGATCGTGCCCGTGGGTTGACCGCTCAAGCAACGAGAGTTTCAAGTTACGTTCCCCTGAGGAAAAAGTGACTACCATTTTGGATTATATATCCCTCTAAGATATTTGGCCATAGCTTTGATTCAAAAGATAGAAGAATACTCCAAGAGGGACAGACACTGAAGAGGAGAGCGTGGCGGGAGGGAACGAAGAGCCACTAACTCACCTAGGTAGGTACCTAGGTTCTACATAATTGTCATCGAAACTCCTACCGTCAGGTCAGGACGTTCCATTCAGATAAGAAATTCATTAAAAAATTAGGAAGCTCTCTATTCCAGGCGACTCACGTACTAGGTAAAGTCATCCCACGCTTAGGAGGCTCTTGAACTGTCATTTTTAGCCCCCCCTCATCAGACTCAAGGTCTCAAGTGTTGTTCCATGTGCTATCCTAGTCTCGGCACTGCCCCAGCAAAGCCCCCACTATCGAATCTCGCATTCATCGTATTCCACGCGATTGGGTCGGGCGTGGGGGGGATGATCATCATCTAAGCCAATCATGTTTGCGGATAATCCTCACAGGGCTGAATGATGCCTTGGGCTGTCTCCATCATTGAGCAATGAGTTGTGCCGTATTCTTCGGGTTGGGAAAATAGCCAATTGAAAATCTCAGGATAGAGAGGTAGATCATACAAGGTCGTAGGTATATATAGAGCCTCTGTTCGCTTTCGAGTTGCAAGAAGTTTGAAAACGAGATCGTAGTAAGACTTACACCAACGACTTATCAGCATCACCAAGTTGCATCTTTAAAGAACCAGGAATTCAAAACACTCTTGCCAACGCCACTACTACAGAAATATGTCTACAGTAACTAAGACAATGGCAACTTCATCCTTCGAACTTAGCCATCGTCCCTCTGGACACTTGGCGCCACCTCCTGACTACCACACTACTGAAGCTGTAGAACTATCACGCCTCTCACCAGCGACGTCTTCTACAAATTCCCTCCCAGAATATACGACACTGTACAGCAATGAACATGGAGACTCGGCATCGTCCTCTTCAACATTGGGATTCCATCCCACAAAGCAACTGCAGATCGAAGCTCCTGGGTTTGCACTTATGAGGCTTCCTCTACCGCCTCAGCCAGATCCTATCTATGTCTTCAACGTCGCAGCAACGGGAGAAGTCGGTGATGCAGAGTATGTATCGATCCGGCCTACCAGAAACTCAGGCTCTTGCTTTCTTGCCAGGGCGAACGATCCTACACAAGCAGCTCTTTGCACAACCACATACCGCTTTGGTCCAGGCAAGCCTCCCAAGATTCGTTTTGTTGGGAATGGATCACAGAACGGCCACACAGAGGAGATTGAGATCAGCTGCAAAGGTGTTCTAACTCGCAGCACCATCATGCGCACTCATCTCGGCACTTTCGAATGGCGATATAGTTCCCGTGCCGAACGTCGAAGTGCAAAAGCCTCTGTTGGCGAGGACATCGGTTGTCTACTAATTCTAGACCAAGTCATGAAAGTGGCGGTTGCAGGAGGAAAGCAAGAAGAGAGAAGACGAAAAGTTGGGCAATTCGTGCGTAGCGATGGACTCCGTACGCAAGGTTCTAGGAGGAGCTCTGCTGGAAATGGTGGACGGCTTATGCTTGATCTGCGAGAGTGGTCGGACAGGAAAAACGAGGCAATTGAGATGGAAATTCTAGCAGTGGTGAGTTGTGTGTCCATGATGAAGAAAGAAGTGGATAGGCGAAGAATGCATCAGACTATGGCCATCATGGGAGGTGCTTCTGGTGGACCCTAGACTATTGGCACGACTATGATACTCGGATGAGATCGATAATAGGGATAGACTGTACACAAATTTTAGTTATATAAATCAACCTTCTGCTTTTCGAGAGACCGTTCCGTCAATTGTAGCCGGATAAATGCTAACCACCAAGTTGCATCCCACATCACCCATTTTTGTATCTATTCTTGCACTTCAGGAACCGCAGTTTTCTCTCTGGGTCCCAGCTCAAGCACCTCAGTCGATGGGATTTGTTCCTTATCATCCAGGTTGGCATTCTCGAGATCCTTCTTACTGCACTTACACCTGTACCTCACCGAGCACCCCTGCTTCTCACCAATGAACGGGTCGTTGCGGCATGATTTGCCAAACAACTCCAGCAGCAACACCCACACAGAGAGAGCCAAAGTGATGGATATCAGATTTAGCGAGTTCAGGCTCTTAGCCAATGGCAAGAGAAACAAGATGAGGCAGACGAGAAGTCTATTGGCCAACCGCGTCTTCTTGGATAGGCGTCTAGTTGCTGGATGGCGATGATCATGAGTGACTGAAATGACCCCCATAAAGAACAAGGCCACAGCAAGGCCTTGACAGTAGAAGTACCGGATACCGTCAGCCATCTCAGGGTCTGAACGCTCGATATAGTGTTCCGTAAGATGCTCAGGGTTGGCATCCGGGGTATCTGCGATCCAGACGAGCTTAGATAGCCCGGCAGATGCGAGAATGTAGCCCATGATGAACGGGAGATGAGCGTAGTGCCATACGGACGCTTTCTAGGTTAGCAAGGGGTCATTAGCACGGTCTTTATAACTTACAGGATATCACGGAGCGCCGAATAGCATGGATATTGATGTTGCTGCCATCCACATCAAAATAGATCCAGTTAAACACAAACGCCTGGCAAAGACCCAGAACGGCCTTTCCCAAGAACACATCAACAGTATATCCTCCGTGGCTCTGAAACATTGGTCCCATGACAGAGTACCCAAACACCAGCGAGACAAAGGCATTGGTTCGTTCAACACGATGCTCAATATTGACGGCTGGAAAGAACTCGAAGATCCCCGAGAGATACTTGACAATGGTTGTGTTATGAGCAGCCTTACGGCCGTATTGGTAAATCCCAGTGAGGATGCTCTGGCCGCACATATCCAAGGCGATGGCAACCCAGATGAGTCCCAGACGAGAAGGCATCTCAACATGAATACTAGCGATCCACAGGGCTGCTGGCACAATTATGTTGAGAGCTTGGCAGAACATAACACCTCGCACCATTGGCAGTAGGTACCCAGTGTACAAGAAGTGGAAGACACCTCTGAAACGAGCAGCGACGTAGAACGATACCAGCATAGTGTAGGTATTGTGCTCGCCTGGATAAAATGCATATGTCATATTGGTCGAGAACCTAAGGAGTCAGATGGATGAATTATCGGTGACTTTTGTTAACGTACCCCAGGAGACAAGCGATCTCGAACAGAATCTCAAGCCGTGTAAAGACATCGTCCGTCTCAAACCAGCTCAGGATCAGAGTGATATCGGACCAAATCTTCCATGACATGATGAACGTGATTGCGAAGCGAAGCAGCTCTTTGCCGGTCGGCTCAGCCCAGACATGCTCGCCGTTGACATGAATGATGCCGACTGTTCGAGCGGTGAGAATTCGTTATTGCAACATAGTTGGGTTTCTTACCATAGAGAAGATCAAAGAACAGCTCGATGGCCATGATCTCGGTGTTTTCTGAAGCACGCCACAACAACCCTTTGTGAAACCATTGCTTGACCACTGGTTTCTTAAAAAGTTTGATAGTTTCTCCTAGCCGAGGCTGACCTCCACCAGAGCCGACTGAGAGCGTATCCGAAGTTGACATGTTGGAAGAGTCAGCAGCTGGTAAGGGGTCATCATCATCATAAGTTCGGAGCTCAGCACCATAACCAAACTTGTCGAAATTGGCATTCAGAGCAGACGTGTTGGTAGAGAGTCGTTCCAGGTGGCCGTTGACGATATCAAGTTGGCTCTGCATATCTTCCCACTCGTCAAAGGCAGGCCCATGCCGTTGTCGAAAGTGAGCACGGCGACTCTCATGGTGATCTCGGGTCTCTCTTAGATAGTCGCAATGTTCTGGAGACCCATGGATGACAACTTCAACCTGAACATCATTTCGCTTTCCATGTTCTTCACGTAAAGACTCGAGGTCTTCGGGCAGGGAGGCAATGATCTTCTTGCCGTTTGGCAGAAAGAACTCCTGCGGCCGCCGACGTCGAGCAGAGGCAATGTATGACATTTGAGCACAACTGATTGAGTTTGGAATGTCAATAAAGTGACGAGACCTACACTATATGAGGAGAAGGAGCTGAAAAGCTACAAGATAAGCACAGAGCCAATGGCTATAGCTCATTGGGCGGCCGACTCTGAACACACAGGCCCCTGCTAATTCGATGCCGCTATCATTGGCTTTTGATGATGTGTCTCACGGCTTATTTGATTGATCCCCGCAAGTGAAGCTGGACAACCATCCATTGCGAAGAGACACTACTAGGATAAGCATAAGTGTTTCATTTTAAGCTTAACCAGATGCGTAGTCATCATGACTAAGTGATTGAGAATAATTGTATTTTATTATTGAGAACAATACCTGTCGCCGTGAATGCGTTTTCATCGAGAATGTCAATTTGGAAGGATTCAATTAGCCTTACGAATTAGGAGATCCAGGAACGCAAGGGTCTTCCCGTTGTACTAAGATGGCGGGAAATTGAATCACGTGACATACCTTGCGGCTGTTTTCCGGCTCTCTTGACAACATCCATCCTGCCTAAGGCCGCAATACTAGCTCTTCCATTGCCCGGTAATTCGGAGCAAAGATTCAGTAGCCATCACCAACTACCAAAACCCATCCCTCTCAATTCAACCTCCAACACCGCCACAATGACTGCTGCGTGGAGAGCCGCTGGTCTTACGTACGTCGATTGAACCCCCAGACACTGCCGACTACAAAATCTTCCGCCGAGCGACCGTACCGAAACACCGAGAAGCTAACATTGCGTTTCGATAGCTACAACCGCTACCTGGCCATCGCCGCCCGCGTTGTCCGCCGAAGCCTGAAGGAGGACAAGAGAATCGCTGCTGAGCGCCGAGGCGAGATGGATTTGCGATTCTCCAAGTGGCAGGTAAGGCGATACGGAACCGAAAAGACAGCGAGAGAAAAAAAAGCGACGCAGACTAACATGTAATTACCTCAACAGAACGGTAAGCAGGGTGAGCCCAAGAACCTCGCCGCTGCCAACGCCGCCATTGCCGCCGAGAACGCTGCTTAAGCAGATGGATTTGGAGATGATTGCGCGTGGAATAATAGAAGCGTGGCGCTCGAAGGGGTTGCTCGGTTCAGATGAGATGGACTTATTCCTCAGCCGAATGCACACACCTGGAGCCACTGTACCATAACGACTGTTGCAAAGTATCAATCAAATTCAAAACTACGACTGTAATTGGAGGCAAGAACGGATTTGCTGGTGAATCAATGTCTTGCGATGTAGATAAATGATTTCCATTGTGATGCTCGCGGTGGAACGTCCGCATCTCAACTTTCTGTCACACCCGGCTACAGCCGAAATAGTAGTTACGGCTCCGCTAACGATGTGTATCAACACACATGACCAGTTTGCTATGAAATCCGTGACTTCTGCCTCTTTTTTACTGCAAAACTTTATTGTAATTTGGCTTTTGCATTGATTTCTCTGACATAATAGGTAGCCAAACTTGGTACAAGTAGTACATCATTTAATCATTGTACGTAGCAGTGGACCCATCATCCTATCTCCCTTGCTGCTCACTCACAATCATCTTCTATCAAACATCCGTCGCTGTATTTCTGTTTCAGGGTCACCATCACCACGCAAACGTTCAATAATATTATTTAATGCGATAGCCTGTCGCTTCATTTAGTCAATATGGACGATATTGGCAACGGAATTCAAGATGGTGGGTGCCCAATACTGCGTTACCCTTAGGTCTCGAGTGCCAATGTCGTCAAAATCTGACTTTGGGAGCACAGATATCGCCAGAATATCGCTTGATCACCAATATGAGCTGCCGCCTCCGCCACCTCCGGACATTGCGACTGCAGGAATAATCGCAGTGGACATCACAGATAAATTCTCAGAAGCTGTCAAGAGTAAGTTCTGTGTCGCTGACTTTGTTCACTCATGACCCCGCCATTGACTCAAGTCTGATCAGCTCTCGCACCCGGTGAACTTGTTAAAGATGGGCAATTTACTCTGTTCGAGTCCGTTTCAGGGCTTGAGGTTCGTCTGCCGTGAAGTTTAGCTGGACTCAACACTGATACGCTTAGATAATGGATCCTAAAATGGACAGCGGTTGTGTTGAATCAGCAGAGGAGCTTGAAGAGCTTTACGATGTTGCGCGGCCACTGCTCCCCGAAGAGGTCCTGGGAATTATAGACCAACTTCTCTGTCATGAGGTAAGTCCTTAACAGTAGCAAAGTGACTATATAAACTAATCATGTTGTTCAGATGGCGTGGCATCAGGGATATCCCCTTTCGCAGACTCTATTCACTAGTGTATACGCTGAGGCGCTTCTGACACCCACCCCACGAACTGTCGATGACGCTCATTTCGTTCGAGATGGCGCATATGATTCTTCTGGACAATCTGATATACTTAAAATATTGAGAGCGTACTGTCTTGGTCTGCTTAAAGCCTGCGGTTATGTCAACGAACGGATTAGATCAGAACACTACTATGAAGTAAGTGTGAACCGATGTCATGACAAATGGATCATTTTTGTCTAACCCATTCTTTCAAGGAGGAAGATTTCGTCACAAACACATACAGCCGCACCTTACTTGCTGAAATACAACCCCAGGCTATCCGGCAGGCTATCCAAGAAGCAAGAGACCTACTCAGCACATTATCGACCGACGTCAGCGATGATCTTCGAGAAGCACTTGATCAACGACTGCAGCTAAGATTGTACTTCCTGGACGCCACAGAATGCCCCAAATACGTGAAAGAACCCGAAGCTGCGCGAAAGCCATGGCTTGAAGGACTCAAGGTTCTTCCAGCCATCAAGTCATCTCACTCCCTGGGAAAACCTGTCGACGAGGCCTTCAGTGCCAAGCTCCAACGAAAGCTTGCTAGCACCATGCCCCCTAGACCGATTGTGCAGTTGAAATTTGAGGATGCATTTGGTCATCTTTCAAGGCTGTTCACGGATGGTGTTGAATTGATTGATGTGCTAAACTACACCGATTCCCAATGTCTACAAGTAAGCATTGGATTTCCCTTCAGAGAATGTCAACGCTAAATATCTTTAGAACTTCGTCTTACAATTTCAAGCTAAGAAACCTCAACCGCTGGTTTTCGTGCGGACTCTACTTCAGACTTTCCTCTTTAACGAAATGGAAGTTTTGGGCACAATGAGCATTCGGCAGATCATGGATGATGACTTTTCTATCGTGTCGATGCCGGCCAGCGCCCAACTTGATCGAAACAACGACGAGATAGAATTTCCCCAAGATCCGCGGTTCATTGTTGCGCAACAAATGGAACAATTTCGACAAAGAGCGGCTCAATCATTTCTCGATATCTTCAGGACCTTTTGCCAGAACAGGTGTCGTGTGCGGCGCACGCTCTGCCATATCATCAGGGACTGGGATAATCTTCAGCTCGATGCTGAAGAGATCGATCAAATTATCCAGGTCAAGTTGGACGAGAAGCCAATGAGACATTTCACAGGAGCAAATTCTCAGCCAATCGATACTTACTCCCTCCCACTATCGTCCTGGACGTACTTATACAAGATTCGCCAGATGGAATGGATTGTACAACTTGGTTTCGAGTTGGAAGTCTATCAGCCAGACGAACTTGCCGGTATGTATTGGTATCTCAATTACCTGGCCAAATGGAGAGTTCAGCATACAGAAAGGCTCAAGTCCTTCATTGTTCGAAGAGTCGAAGAATCTCGCGCACCTTCTCAACCGCGAAACCCTTCAGTAGATCGCCAACTCGAGCGATCTCTCGCCTTTGTCCGGCTTATGCTTCTCGATGCCGCTGTCACATGGGAATTGTCAGATGCGCTATCTTGTCTTTACACAGCTCTCATGCGGTTTGAGTTGGTCAAGGTGCCTCCGCGGCCGTACAGTAACGATGAGTTCCGCTTTGAGCTGCGGATGAAACCATTCGCAGTTATTGGTCTGCCGCCTTGCCCGGGCTTTCAAGAATTTAATCTTGGAACCACGCAACCAGAATCGTCCACGGTGGAAATTCTTCAATATGCAGAAAGAGCTCTGAAGGGTGCAAAGCAGGGGTTTGAGGTTCTGAGCAAGTTGTCTGCCGCAGATTCATTCTCAGTTGGTTCTCACGATAAATGGCAGACTTCAAAGAAGAACGCGCTCAAAGCTTGTATTGCAACAGGGCTCGCGATTACGGCTGTGCTGAAGGCATCAAAGGAAGATGCGAGTAATCTGAAGCTCAGAGCTGAGGTGCCAACTCCTGATAAGTGTTATCATGACTGGTGGATTGTACCTCGTCTGGTTCCTGTATGATGCTTCTTGAAGGAAATCCATGTGTAATGAAAAAATGAGCTTAAATTGAATTGTTACATCAAAGCCGCCTCAGCGTATTCGGGTATCCAGATGAGAGCAGCACCCTCTTCCAATATTCCTGGTTACCAGCCCTGGTTTCAAACATCAAACAGAATATGAACTAATACTACCTAGGTATAGAAGATACGACGCCATTTCCATTGCGACAATTTCAATAACAAAACGAGCGCATCCTCACCGCAAATGCTTTTCGGTAATCGGAATGAGATACCGAGAATAATTGGGGATCTTCAATCCTGGTTCTGATAAGAAGACATGTCTAGTGGAACCAGTGCTTAAGCTAGCTTAAGCGGCAACACGTCGGCGAGCGGCCTGGGCCATTCGGAGACGAACGGTCTGCTCATAGAGAACGTCCTTGAAGGCAAAGAGGAGCGCAGCAGTGAGGACGCTCTGTGTGACCTTAGGGCCGATGCCTGTTGATGAGAGTCAGTGAATTGCTAAATAAGATGGTGACTTGATATTTTACCTCGGTAGAGACCAGAGTAACCACTCTCACGGACGATGCGAGAAAGAGCACTAAGGGAACCCTCCTTCTTACCACTGCCCTGGACGTGCATCTGAGACTTGACGGTGATGTAAGGGTAGGTGATGGCAGTAGCAAACAGCTTGCCCAGGGCGCCGAGGAAGAAGGCGATAGTAGGAGTCACCTTGCGACGCTTCTCAACTGTGTTCTTGAGTTGCTCGAAGAGAGTGTACTGGAGAATAGGGTTGATAACGAGGACAAGAGCCGGGATGACACCAGAGAAGAGAGCCTGAGGACCCTCGTTCTTGAGGAGGAGGAGCAGAGTACCGAGTGTGCTGGGGGCCTTGGCAGGCTTAGACTCGCCGGACTCGAGATCCTGCTTCTTCTCTTGCTGGCGAGTAGTGACTCGGGTGTTGACGACCCAGATAGGGTTGGTGATGATGACGGTGGCCGAACCAGCGATCGCACCAGCAATCATGGATTCAACGGTCGTGAGCTTGGCGCCAGCGCGACCAGCCTTGGCAGCAGCCTTCTCGAAGAAACCGCGAGTCCATTCGTACCAGTAGTAGTAGACAAAGTTGGTGACGCTGATGCCGAAGAGAGCGGAGTTAATACCGGAGTAGAGACCAGAGATACCCTCGCGGGCGATGATGTTGCCAACAGCCTCGCTGAACTTGCTCTCGGCCTTCTTAGACTCGACCTGAGCTCGTGTGGAGAGGGTAATGAGAGGGTAGCTTGAGATATCATCAGCGCACTGTGATGCGTCATTGGGGTATTCGCAAGCCTTACGTCAGGATCATGGACAGAAGACCACCTCCGGCGCCAGCAAGAGCGTGAGCGACATTGTCGTTCTGAGGAATTGCTTGAGTCTCGGGCGCCGTGCTAATTTCGACCTTGTTAGGAGTGATCTCGACCTTTGTCACAGGCGTGTCGATCTGAGGAGTGGTCTCCTTTTCGGCGTTGTCTGACATGATGCCGGTTGTAAATGGTCGATGTAGTATACAAGTTTAAGCTTAAGCGAGGCGCGCGTGTAAGCGATGTTTATGTAGGACAGAAATAGAGAATCGAATTGAATTGACGGGGAATGAACAGTAATTAAAAACCCGGGGAAGGGAAACGTACAAGTCGCGCGGGGCCGTGCTTGACTATAGGTGCCCAGATACAGTATTTAAAGCTCGGCTTGTAAGGGAAACGTATTGGATTGGATTGGAGGGAGACATGTATCTCG